TTCTGAAAAAACTTTCATTAATTGGACATTCTCATCAACAGTATTTAAGTTGGGCAGCCCTTTTATAAAACTCAGTGTATAGACCCCAGCGCTCACTCGAAAGCGAGGCAATTCCAAAGATTGCCATCATTAATTACTGAAGAGTTCCTATTTATTTTAAAGACCCTTCCATCATTGCAATGAATTTGTAGAGCAATATTCTGTCGACCAAGAAATATTATAGATTCATTTATAGGCTTTAATCGTTCTCGATTATCTTTAGCCTATTTAAGTTTTCTTTCGTTAACTAAATTACGTACATCTGTAGACGGACATTCATATGCTCTAATGAAATCTGATGCTGCCAACATAGCAACATTGTTATACGCATTGCAATCATATAATTGTAAGTCTCCATTCTTACCCAAAAGCTTTGAGTTACTTTTAAGAGGTAAAGTAACTAGCTTGAGTAATTGCACTTGACCGTGTATTCCCCCAACTTTTGCAAAAAAAATGCAATACTTACAAAAAAGGCATTCTGATGTCATTCTCCACAGAAATTCATGTATATGTTTTTTCGACAAAAAGCAATTAACATTTTACCCTTCTTTAAATGCACAGAATATGGATATTTGTAATTTGGACCAGAAAACCAATTGCATTTGAATATTTGGTATTTATCTTGTTCAGTTACCTGACGTTTTAAAAATGCCCCAATGTCTATAGGCAGCTAGCTATCACCTTTTGTCGTGGGTATTGAATCTTCTTTATTAACTTCTGCGTTAGTTTTACTTGTAAAATTAGCAGCTTTCATGCCAAGTCCAGGTTCTGGAGAAAAAGGGCTAATTTTCATTGTAATTTGATTATTTTCAGTCACGCCAATAAATACACAATTAAATCATTCGAATGATGACAACGAAGATAAAGGCAAAACGATAGGATCAGCACGGTCCTAAATTGGTAAAATTTTAATTAATTGGACAAAATAGTCATCTAAAAAAAGAAAGTTTAAAAGTGAAATTAGCTTTCGAGAGAATTGAGAAATGCCCAAAAAGGATACAGAGGTGTGCAGAGTAGTCACTTTTGTGGCTTTTTTTACAAGCAATTCTATTTTCTTTACTAGAGTTTGTATCAAGCAATCTTGATAAAACCACCAAAACATGATATATTTTATTATTTTGATTTGTTTCTTCTGCAGCCGTTCCGGAGCTGCTCCGGAGCAGGAGCTGGAGCCAAAAATTTTAATGGTGCCGGAGCATGAAGCCAATTTTTTTACCTCTGCTCCAAAGTCTTGATAGAATAAATTAATAATGATAAAATTAAAATGTTTAGAATCATCGTTTTTCTTCGATATTGTAAAAATGTTAAAAATGCAACAAAATTTAAACGATTTCTATCAGAAAATTACTTCAATCTTAAATTTTTTTTTTAAATTAGTACCTAATTATTTAAAATAAATACCTAAAATAATAAAACTGAAAAAAGTCATCATTACTCACTTATTTCTGTCTTGATTTGTTACTTATTTTCTACTTATAAAAAAAAATAATAATAACTAAACAATATATATATATACATATATATATATATATATATATATATATATATATATATATATATATATATATATATATATATATATATATATATATATATATATATATATATATATATATATATATATATATATCATATATATATATATATATATATATATATATATATATATATATATATATATATATATATATATATAAATATATATATATATATATATATATATACATATATATATATATAAATATATATATATATATATACATATATATATATATATATATATATATATATATATATATATATATATATATATATATATATATATATATATATATATATATATATATATATATATATATATATATATATATATATATAATATATATATATATATATATATATATATATATATATATATATATATATATATATATATATATATATATATATATATATATATATATATATATATATATATATAAAAGACAATATGTTTCTTCTTCTTGCTCCGGCCATTTATTTTACGTATACAATCTTTTTTATTGTACATTCTATTAAACGGTAAAAAAAATAAATGAAAAAAAAATATATAGATATTTTCTAATGCTATGAAATAGTTAGTTTTACAAAAAAAAAATGTAAATAGCTGCAGAATAGTTTTTTGTAAAAAATGTAAATAGCTGCAGAATAGTTTTTTGTATTTTGTTATTTGTTTTACAAGTTTTTCAATAAAATTTTGAAGTTTGATATTTCAGAGCGGGGTTAGTTACCTCCTTATCCCCCTCCCTCTCTCTTTGTATCTGCCACTAAGCTTTCGTATCTTCTGGAAAATGACTCGTTTCATCGTCTACATGGTTGCATATAATAAAAAACTTCATCAAGTTCTAAACAGTGCAACTATTTGTCCTCTTATTGCTCCTAATGTTATTATTCGTAAGCAACAATATTTTTCTTTATTGTTACAACAAAACAGTAAGAACTTCATTTTTAAATCTATTGTAAACTTGGACAGTTCTAATATTTAATTGACAGGATACAAATCAATACACTTTAATTTAAAAAACAGAATATCTTAGCAATCGTAATTCAGAGTCTAAATGAAACCTAAAAAATAGAATATCTTAGCAATCGTAATTCAGAGAATGAAACCTAAAAATAAAAATCTAAAAAAATAAAAACCTAAAAATCTCCATTGATAAATTAAGAGCAGAGTTTTATTTATGACACCATTTTTGTTTTTATTTAGTACCTTATAATTAATTTATATTTTTATTTTACTCACTATATCCTTATTATTTTAGGCCCGTAAATAAATTTTATTGATTGATTGATAAGTCAGACATATTAATATAAACTTCCAGATATTTAAGTTGACAACACTAAATTATGGAGGGCATTTTCTATAAAGTTTCTAGAAGTAATACTAGATGAGCACATTTAGAAGAAGAAAACAATTATGGAATTTATTTCTTACAAATGATATTAAAACAACAAACTTGATTAAACATTTTAAATATATTGTTAAACAGTTGCTATGCAACAGTTAAACAACATTTACTATGCAACAGTTAAACAACAGTTATTTGACCTCAATATAACTGAAACAATCACTTATTTTTAGAACTTTTGAACATCTTGAATTTTTTTTTGGTAAAAATAACTGGAAATATTTATGATTACATTTATAAAAATTTGGTTAGCTTATTATTTTTGGTTTATTAAGCATTTATCTGACTATTATACTTATGCGGCTAGTGCAATATATGTGTGCTACAAATATTTTATAATTTGTGATTACTTGCGTTGATTATATTATTGATATCGATTGTATAATAGACAAGATGATAAGTCGTCTCCCGCTTGTTCAATTTATATCTTTTACGTTAACAAAATTGTAAAAAAAAAAAGTTTTTTTGACAAAAAATAAACAAAACAAATCTCCTATTCGTCTTTGAATGGAGAACTGCTATCATATTTGGGCTGGTTCATCTAACAATGCTAACATTGTAAATGTTGTTTAACCTGCTTTATTTGCCATGCTTGAGCCTCTCTCCCAACGTCGTAAAGTTGCATTTCTTTCTCTTTTCTACAAATACTATAAATGAATCATGGTTGCTGGAGGATTTGTTTTTGGACTATATATAAAATATCACGTTGTTAAATTTTGGGTAATCTTACCAGCCAGCAAGTTCATTGTCTGAGCTGCGTAGCGACGGTGCTTTGGAAGAATATCATCATTGCAACTGTAAAGAATTTCTTTCATCATGAAAGGTGTCAAGTTGAGCAGTTCAGGATCCAACTTTTCTCTCTGTTTTCCCTACTCGACTAAATCATTCTGGTTAAATTACCAAATTTCAATTGACCACAATATTTATATATTTCCAAAATGTATTCTGGAACTAAAGATTGGAATTGTTTTCTAATTTTATTTTTAAAAGTTGTTGTTCAACCTTAAATAAAGATTACTTCAATAAGATCGTAAAAAAGTCTAGATTAACGCATATATATATATATATATATATATATATATATATATATATATATATATATATATATATATATATATATATATATATATATATATATATATATTTATATGTATATATATATATATATATATATATATATATATATATATATATATATATATATATATATATATAATATATATATATATATATATATATATATATATATATATATATATATATATATATATATATATATATATATTACATTAAGCTAATTTCAGACATTTAAAGCACACATGCTGCTACTGCAAAATCAAATTGTACATCTTCGAAGCTTTTATGGTAACACACTTTGATAAAATTGGGAAACTTTGATGTTTTAAAATTTTCAGCAATTGAAGTTTGAAGCTTAAACTTTTTAAAATAGTATTTCTAAAATTAAATGGTAACAAAGTAGCTTTTTGGAAATAAAAAATTATTTTTATGGTTGCGACCTCTGTTTGCTATCAAATTGTTTTAGTGAAAACGCTCTTGCAACTCCGCTACAAAATGAAAAGTCATGTAGCAGAATAGCAGAGTAGCGGATCGAGTCATTCTACCGCTCAGCTCTGATAATAAATTATATATTTGTATGACCTCAATAACTTATTTAGCATTACATTACATAGCAAAATATAGTTTGGTATAAATATAATTATTCTTAATGCAAAGTAAATTATTTTATAAACTTTTATATTACTGTTGATTCAAAGATAAATAAAATTTATATGTAGATGGTTACCCCCTGAATAAGAGTTATAAAATGTTAACTAAAAAATCATTTCCATCTAATTATAATCAAATAATTGTTGCCATTAATTAGTGATAATCTAATAATATCTAATTACGTTTAACATGCATATTTGGTTAAAAGCCGAACCCGTTGAGTTTTTACTATCATGCGTAAAGTATTGTTTACTTTTTCTTTCAAAAAAATATGCCGAAATTAGAATAAAATAGGCACACATTGCAATTATATATGAATGGCAATAAAGTCGCGCTAATTAGTTAATTATAAACCGCATGAAAACAACTTTCGAATAGTGTAATGGAGGCATGGGGATTTATATTATTCGTTTATTTATTAGGTAAGTATTTATCACTGTGAGGTTTCAATTGAATAATTTTTTAATCTTAACTTTATGATTACAAAGGTTTATTACATTTATTTTATTTTTTCTACTTATAAAAGAAGGAGAAAAAACAAAAATTTATAAAGCATAATCTTTTAAGTAAATTATAAATTATGCATTTAGCATGATGATATTTTTAGTATGCGGTATGGAGTAAAGCAGTATTTCATAAAAAAATGACTTTAAATGACAATTTACTTTACATGATAGGCGTAGTTTAAATGTAATACAGTACAGGATTATTACATTTGTAAGAAGATAAACTCAAAATATATCGAATTTGAATGGTTTTCTGAAATATAGGTCAAATATCAAATATATATTTAATAAATTCAATTTGTGTCAACAATCCGAGGCATTGTATAAATCATTAAAATAAATAAGAAACATTATGTATATTCTGTTGCACAAAGTTCTCTCTAAAATTTTAGAAAAAACAGAGAGCATGGAAATTGAAAGATAATGTTTAACATTAGTTTTTTCTCCTACTTTAAATCTGTCAGGGTTAGAGTCAAGGTTATTTGAATATGTGAATAATTTTTTTTGTTTTTAATTCATCAGGAAAAACTCCCTGATTAATAGAGCATTTTAAAATTTAGAAAAATATTTTTTAACATTTTATAATAATATATCCTTTGACATTTGACCAACTGCTTTATTTGACTTTTATTATTTGAAAAAATATAGTTGCCTACTACCTGTGGCTTGTAAAGAATGTAACTTTTCGAAATCAAAATGATTTAAATTTTATTTGCTTTTAACTATTTCAACTTCAAAATAGACTCGAAGACTTTTTTGAAAAAAAAATTTAGTAGAAAGTTCAATAAAAACTACATTTCAACATTAGAATTAAAGGAATTAGTAGAAACCTTTGCGTGGAAGAAGGCGCGAAAGATTAAGTTTTGTTTTTGTAGTGCTTTTGCACTTATAACGTTGATGCAATTGATAATAAACACACACTATTTAAAACTATTTTTTTCCAATACCTATTCCTAAAGATGTAACTATGACTTTGCTTTCTACCTTCTACCCCCAAACCCCGCAATAAAGTGACGGGGCCTTCCCCAGAAAATTTCAAAAAATTATATTAAAAATATAAGTAACGAAATATTTGGTTTTTATATTTAGTTAATGAAACACGAGTAAGTAAATGTAAACAATATTTATTTTATAAATTAGGGATAGATCATAGAATACCTGCTTCAAACAAAAATAAAAAAGAACGAACCTTTAGATATTCAAAAACTTTAACTTACTTATGGCTATGACATAATTTTGAAATTCACAACAGCTACACTACCTAATGTACCAACTTACACTACCTATTCCTTAATTACTATAGCACTTCTTAGAATGCTATCATGAATAGAAAAAAATTAAAGAAACCAAAAAAAAAAAAATTATTTTTTCAACATGCCCAAATATGCAGTAAAGGATCCAGGAATTTTTTTTTGGGATTTTTATGTTGAAAATATTTTGGTATTTTGTACCCCATTTGCAGTTCCTAAAAAAAAAGAAAACAAAAAGGTCTTCAATATCTGAGACATTTTAGAACTTTCAGATTCTGGTGGTGGTGGTGGTGGGGGGAGGGGGTTATTGTTGCTTTTTAAAGATACCAAAACTTGTTTTTCAAACAAGTTTTGGTATCTTTAAAAAGTAACAATAGACATATACTTATCTAGAGTCCTTCAAATTAGCTTTTAGCTTAATCAGGAAGCGCTATGATGACTGCTTTATTGTCGGTAATTTTAACATATCACGTTTCCTTCATCAAGACACCCTATGGTTGCTCAAATCATATTTTGGACTCAGTTACCATATGTTGGAGAAGTAGTTCTAATTTAAAATTGTTTCCAAATGCTATATGAGGTATTAATACTAATATATGGGCCGCTTTAGTATAACTTAAGGAATTTTAGTTTCAAAACTGTTTCCCGAAAGTGAATTTCATTTGTTTTGTTATAGCAGGTGATAAAAATTCAATATCAAACTATATTGCATCAATGAACTGAAATATTTTACTTCTGCATAAAATCGCGGATCAAGTTTTTAATTTATTAATTTCTAATAATTGTACTGTTTGTGAATATTTTATCCCAAGGTTAATAAAACAAAGAAAAAGTATGATCCTTAAATTACTCCACATATTAAAACCTATTCCCAGTAAAAAAATTATTGGTTTAAAAGGTGTTATAGACCAATTTGCAGCTATAAAAACAAGAAAAAAACTTTTATTAGATTTTCTTCTTGCTATAGTGTTTAGTATTGTGAATAGGAAACGTCGCTCATGTCGTTATCATTTTTATTTAATTTTATGGATAAAAATCGTAAAACAACAACATTGTAAAATGTTTATATATGACGAATATAGTAAGTAGAAAATCTTTTTTTTTTTTTTTTTTTATTTTGTCTTTATAGCTGCATATTGATCTATAAACTTTTTATGCAAACTGATCTATAACACTGGTCTATAACACCAAAAATAGAAATCAGTATGTTACACTATGCAAGCTTGACTTGCATATTATAAAATACTGATTTCTATTTTTGTGGTGTTTTTTTTTATGTATAATTTTTGTCAAGAAATGGGGAAGGCAGAAGGGTGATAGCAGAAAAGTAATTTAGGGGCCTGGATTAAACTTTTGTGGGGAGGCCTATTTTTTGTCGCTACGCTTCTGGTCTATCGTAAATTATTATGAAATTAATTGTCATCTTAGCACATTTGTCGTCTCAGCACATTTGAGATAAATAGATATTAGTAAATTAATTTAATTTGTGTGTGTGTGTGTGTGTGTGTGTGTGTGTGTGTGTGTGTGTGTGTGTGTGTGTGTGTGTGTGTGTGTGTGTGATTAGATGAAAAATAATAAAGTTGCATAAAACAGGGCTCATAATAAAAAAGTACTGCTCATAATAAAAAATGGAATAATGTAAAAAGTGCATTAAGATTCGTATATTTCCGCTCCCTGAGCTTCGCCCCCACCCCTACCTTGTGGGGTTGTGCTCTTTTTTGTTACTCCGCTGTTTTATATATATTTTTATTATTATTTTCCGAGTCTGAATAAGTTGGCCAAAGACTCTATATCCTTGTAACTGTCAAACAATTCGAACAAGGTTTTTCATAAAGGTAAGAAATGAAATATATGCAAAATTGATGTAAACTTGCAAGAATTAAACTCGTAAAAATCTTTAAGGCGAGTTTCCACTCATCCGTTTTTTTACGGGACGGGAAAAATAATCACGTGGGCATGCGTAGTATAAGTTTTAATATGTCCTAAGGAAAACTACGTGATTATTTTTTTCTTTCCTATCCCGTTCCCGTGAAAAACCGGATGAGTGGAAACTCACCTTTACTATTATTAAAAATATTGCAGAAAATTAAAAAAAGAACATGATAAAGTTACAAAAGCGCTGTATTATACAGCGCTTTTTACTTTATTTTTTACTATATTTTTTAATCTATGCAGAGTTTAGATTAAAAAATAGAGTAAAGCTCCACTTTTTTTCGTAACGACTTTTTTTTAAATTCTTGATTTATAAGTTACTTAAAAAATTGGCGTTCTTGCAGTCCCCCCCCCCCCTCCTGCTTCCCCCCTTCCTCCCTCCTTTCCCCTCTTTTTTTAAATATTTATAATTTATAATCCATTATAAAATAAAGGAGGATAGGGGAAGTTGCCTAAGCGCCCAAAAAAAATTATCATGATGGAGGAGTTATTATGATAAAGAATTTTATACTGATTAAAAATCATATAATAACATAAATTTGAAAATCAACAGAAAGTGCTCTATTTCGATGTTAAAGGTTGTAAACTTACAAGTGAGTACAAAACAATGTTTGTACTCACTTGTAAGTTACAATGTAACAGAAACTTCAGTTTCTGGATAAAGTTGATGTCTTGCAATATTGAAAATTTGTGGCTAGTAAATATGCAATATTTACTAGCCACTAATTTAAAATGCTGTTATGTCGTTAAGTTTTTATATTTCCACGATATCAAAAATATAAATGAAAAAGAGACTTAAAAAGAAAAACTTCAAGATTGATTATTACGCAAACCTTGAATCGTGTCTTACAATTGAAAATAAGTAAGTTTAAAAATTATTTTACAATTTTTTTTGCTAACATCTATGCTAAAATCATGACTAATAAATATCTATGCAGGTATAGAAGATAGCAAAAATCCATTTGCCTGAAAACCTCCTAGCAACCATCAAAAACATAAGTAATGTCATTAAAAGCAACTGTACCATAGCTCCTAATGTTTTTATTCATAACTATTCATAACAATGAAGTTCAAAATTATTCATAACAATGAAATATTAACCAATCTCATTGGTGTTTGCAATGCTTTCCACATCTACATCTTTAACCCTTTTAGCAATATCCAGACATGTATTCTTTCATCTACTCATTGTACACAGTTTACTTTTGAAATCCTTTGCAAAAATCTATATTTATAAAACCTACTGGTAAAAAATAAATTTTAAGTTCTTTTAAAATATAACTTGGCTTTCACACAAACAATTCTACATCATTTACTTTACAAAGCCAAATTAAAAAAATTAAAGTTCTCCAGATAAAGAAATGCTTGTATGTAGTATATTTATCAACCTATAAGTGACCATTAACACTGTAGATATTTACATTTTTACCTTGCATAAATTATTATATTATAGTTTAATAGGAATATCAAATTTCATTAAAATGTCTTCTAAATGTTCCAAAAAGGAGCAACGAAGTTAGCACCTACATTTAAAAAATTATCTTATGAAGCTAGGTTAAATATGTTGCAGCTTACGATACTAGAAGAACAGAGACTATTTGGAGATTTTATTTAAAATTTTAAAATTCAACATGGCCATGTTAAAATAAATTTAGTTACACACAGTTATCGAAATACATCAAAAGAAGGTATTTACAACAACAAAAATTCAAACTGGAAAAACCTTTTTGCAGAAACACCTTTAAATATCACTTTTTACAAAATTGAGTTGTAAATACACGGAACAACTTGCTATCTTTAATGATAGAAGCTGCTTTAATAAATAATCAAAATAAAATAGCCAAATCTGAATTTTGCTAAAAATATTTGTCAAAACATTAACAAAAAACAAAAATTGAGCTGTTACAGTGCAATATCTACTGTTATTGGACTTCACAACTGTTAACACTAATTGTTACAGCTGTACCTTATTACTATTATCATTATTATTATTATTAATATTATTATTATTATTATTATTATTATTATTATTATTATTATTATTATTATTATTATATTATAAGATTTAAAAACTTTTGTTGTTGTATGTAGAAAACTAGAAATTAAACATATTTTACATAATTAAAAGTAAATTATAAAGGAATATTTTTTCTATGTGGTTGCTGCCTATAAAATAGATTTACAAAGCATGAAAAGTATATTTTTTGTATATTTTTTACAGTTAAAAAAGGATCAAATAAATAATTTGCAACTTTTTATAAATAAATCTTTACTTTATAAACAAAAAACTAGTTTTTGCTCAAATAAAAAAAGCGACTTGATTTAAACTTGTTTATACAATGACTTGTTTTAAAACTGCGCTATTCTTAAGAATTTATTCATGCATATAATTAGTTTAATTTTACTACTCAATAAATAATCATCACCTTAAGGATTTTCATAAGAGGTTCAACTGGCATCCCTAAGAAAATGCTTACCCACACAGTACTGAAAAGCTGAAATTTCTATGGTGGATGCAATTATAAGAGTAGCAACATTCTAATGTTAAAAAATGCTATTATATTATTTAGAAAATTTTTTAATGCACAGTTTAATAAAAACTTATTTTAAAATAAAAAGATTATAATAAAATTACATCGATTTGATTTGAATAAATGGAGATTTTTAAATAGAATCTTAAATCACTTATTTGATTTAGCATGTTTCGAAATATCAAAACTTTGCAGGGGCCTCTTATCAAGGTCACCATAGGGAGATGTAAAACACCATCTGATATATTTAAAATTGTTTTTTTTAAAAGTGAAGTTTGCTTTTAACTGAAAATTTTGGTTCTTATTGTTATTTTTTATAAATTCTACTAGGCTGCCACTAAATTTAAATGACCCATCTTGATTGGTTGGGTACCATAATATTTTTTTTACTACTTTCTATCATGAGTAGGGTTTACCAGATGTCCAGCTTTTATGAAGAAGAACACAGTAAAAAAAATTATTTTTATAGATTTGGTGTTGTATTTTCCTCCCTAAAGGCTGGATGTCTGGCAACCCTAATTATGTGTGAATTTGAGACTTATTTTTCACTATTTGCGTGTAAAATTGTTCAGTTATTATGCATGAATATATTTTTTTGCCCTTTAATTATTATGCATGAATTTATTTTGTTACTATTTAAGTTGTTATACATGTTTAAATATTATATTGTAAAAACCTAAACCTTAAACATCAATAGGTTTGACGGTTGATGCTCATACCATTCTGGAAGAATATTATTGTAAAGATTCAACAATTGAATATGGAAAATCACTTAAAGCAGGAAATGCTGCTGGTTTATTTGACAACTATGGCACTGTAAAAAATATTCAGGTATCTGTTTTCTAATCTACTCTAACTTTAATTTATGGAAAAAAAAATTTTGATTTTACATATGAACTTGCAATTATGTTAAAAGGCTCAACTATATATTTGAGCTGTATGTAAATAGGAATGCACATTGAAGTGTTGTGATAAAAAAAGATGTGATATTGCTATGCTCGAAGGAAAGACAAAACTTTGCATTGGTGTTCGGTGTTTTAACTCATCTTCTTGTGCTTCAGTACCAGCTGCACCTGGAGAAGAAGAACTTCAGATAGCAAGAATTACAGAAAGAGGAATGGGTAATTTTACAATAGGTAGGATTTTTCAGAAATGGTTGAAATTTTTGATTGCAATGTTTTAAGATTTTTAAAATTTTCAGACAAAGCTTAGAATGTTTTCCTGTTTTTTTCATTAAAAATTTTTTAAGATGATTAATTCAGACATTAAAAATATTATTATTTTAGTAAAATTTCTTGTTGAATTCTAATAACTATTTAACATTATGATTTATATTGTAAGATTTATAAATAATTTGTACAAAGTTAAAATAGCATTTCATAAAAAAAATTTTTTAATAAAGTTAAAATGTTGTGTTTAGTGTCTTTTTTATGATTTAGTACTTTAATTTATTTTTTAATTTTAAGAAAATTACACCAAATTATATAGATTTAAATAAGTAAATTTTAAAATAAGGATTAAAAATAAATAGAACAGCAAGAATGTAAGAACACTTGTATAAGATATTGATCATAGTTATAAAGGTGTATAAATATATATATATATATATATATATATATATATATATATATATATATATATATTAAATTCTATGTTAATTCACCTCTCCGAGTCTGAGAAAGCCACTACAGACAAGCAGGCTACTTAATTGTGGTTAAAACCCTCTCTCAACTCTATAACTCTAAGACACGAACCTTGACCCAACCTGGATCTTCATACTTTTCTATGCGTTTTTCTTTAATTAAATTATGACAGGTGTTGTATACAGTTGAGAAAACTTTGGAAAATAGTTCTTTTGCTTATCATGAGTTGTTTGGGCATTTTTTTTAAATATAACAAACGTAAAAATGTAAAGGTTGCATTAACTTAGCATACTTCTCTCTTTTCTTCTTTTACTTCTCGTTGCATTTGGTTTTGAATGTTTTGATTGTGGTCAAAATTGCTCTCTTTTTTTTTTGTAATATTTATAAACATATTTGTAATTGCTGGTTTATCTTAAACTTTTTGACAAAACTTTCTGCCGATTTATTTTCAGTGGATTTTTATAACCCTGTTTATTACCTTATGTCATTCATATTAACTAAATTAAATAGAATGAATTTTTTTTTTTCATTGAATTTAGTTTGTTTTAATTAAATTTGATGACTTTTTTTTATTATTTCAACAGAGTTTTGATATAAGAAAAATTTTCCCAAAATTGTTTCTTAAGATAGATATAAGATATAAATATATGATCTAGATGTTTTTAGAGATATATTTTAAATTAAGTAAATGGTGTTTGGTTTAATCTATAACAAAATGTCTGTAATATATTTCAATGAATAAAAATTATTTAAAAGAGTTATGAAACAAACTTTGAAATAATTTTCAAATCATTTTAAGCAGCTGTGACACAGGGTAGGTTTTCTTGTCCAACCTCTATTCTAATTTTGATTGTCCTTTGTGTCTACTGACCCAGATTTACTGAGGTAAATTTAGATATATAAGGATAGGTGAAACAGACCATACATATACTGACTGGCTTGAATAGGAATAGATGCAATGGATGTACATACATTGATTAAATGTTGTATAGGAGGCGTGAATTTCTTAGGTAAAGTCTCTTCTGTGGTGCTCTGTAATAAGACCGTTAGTTAGAAAATCTTGATGGCTAAAAATAAAAATGTTTTAACTAAAAAAAAAATAACCAATTAATTGTTTTAACCTTCTAATCTTTGCTTCAGAGAGTAAGATTAGTTTTAAATTTTATTTTTAATTTTAGATGCTCTTTTATAAATCAATTTTTTATAAATCATTTTTTTCCTCAATGTTTAATTGCAAATAAAATACGATTTTTATATTTCCTTATACTAATTGACTACCAACAAGATTAAAAGTAACCACTTTTAAGTTAGCAGTTGATAGAAAACAAAGAGTGGTGTTATAAAACAAGGAAATGGTTGACAGAAAACTAAAATTTGTTGATTGTATGAGTCAAGAAAACATGAAGATGATAGAGAGAATTCCGAAGCATTGATATGCTATGAAAAAAGTAGCTGCATAAAAGTTTTTTTTGAGAAAGAAGGGAGGGTTTGAATTATGCATATTGCGATCACTAATTGCTTTTTTTGCTTTTCACACTATCACGATTAGTTTTTTCTTAAATAAATATTTTTGCAATTTTTTTTTTTTTGTTAATTTTTTTTTTTTTTTTTAATTAAGCATTTTTTTGGCCATTCTTAAAAGTATAGAATATTTTGTCTAAGTTTTTTTATTAGGAGTCATAGAATGCATCTACTTGAATCTACAATGCAAATATTGAATATTGATATTGAATCTATAATGCAAACTATTTAATTGACTTAATATACTCACAAAAGTTAGCAATACAAATGTTTCTATTTATATCTTATATGTTTTTAACAAACAATAACTTTTTAATTAAAAATTATTTTAACAAGAAATCTCTAATACAATATGAAAAAATGTTTTTACCATTTTTTTATTATTATTATTAAAAGAAATATCAAGATAAAACATTTTCTATTAATATGCAAGTTTTTTTTAGGAATTTTTGTTTAAAACAATTTCAGCCTTCTAAAATTCTCTTATTTAAATAATTTTGCAATAGTAATTAAAAGTTTTTGCAATTGTAAAATTTTGCAATTGTTATTTGAAAAAAATTTAATTAAAAAAATAAATTATTTTACTTTTGTTTAAATAAATTTTTTACCAAAAACATAATTTAAGCATATACATAAACTTAAGAAAATATAGTATTCAATTTATTAAACCAACTTTTTTTTTTTTTTTAATTTTTATTGCAAAACAATTTGAAGAAAAAAATTGAATGAAAACATCAACTTAAAAACTATTTGGATAAAAAAATTAATTATACTTCACTTGGTCAGGAATTGGCAGCGATCGCTCTCGATTGCTGACCACGAAAATAATATTTAGTTGTAAAAAGCTGACCATGGAAATAATATTTAGTTGTAAAAAGCTGACCATGGAAATAATATTTAGTTGTAAAAAGCCAGATTTTTTATTCGTTTTGAGAACATTTTAAAAAGCAAAAAAAAAATGGACTAAAGATTAGTTGGACCGATGAGAGACAATTTCAAAAAACAAAATAAAATTAGGAAAATAAAATATCTTTTAATGCAAAAAAACTTAAAACAAAATAAATTACGTTTAGAACAAATATTTTCAAAACATCGCTCTTTTATAATTTTTTTATAAAATTAAGCGATGTTTTTTATATAAAGAAACATCTTATGATTGTTTAAAAAGAAAACCAATGTTCTTTATTTAACAAAGAGTGTAATACAATTTTTATTTATATACTCGTGTCTTGTTTCTAGTGCTAGATTAAGGAGGGTTGGATTTAGAGGGGGCTATTGCCTGGAACCCACAATGTTAGGGCCCCAAAAAAGTCAAGACGACCTTATTGTTAAGTCATTTTTACGCTGTGGCACATATAAAATACATCCAAAATACAAATGGCCTCCAGCCCCAAATAGTCTAACAAGATTCTAATAAAACTAATGCAAGTTTTAGTTTAATCTAAGCTAAATTATTTTATGAATAAAAAAGTTAATTTTTTTAATAGCTATTTTATGCTTTGCGTAGTTTGAAAAGTTTAACATATTTGAAACAATCCTTTTTAGTAAGATGAAAAAATAAAATAATTAAATCATTGAATAACTATAGAAAGTAAATTAAGTAGATAAAAATTAACTAAAAATGTTAAAAAATATTTTATGATGAGGAAGCGAAACTGCTTCACAATATCGCTGATGATGTTTAGTGAGTGGGCTTTTTAATTTTAATTAGTATTTAAAGCAGAAAAAAGTATAACAAGTTTTTAAGAATGGCAACTAAAGCAAAAATAGTTAGAGTTAGTAAACCAATATCTAGAAACATTTCTATGTATCTAATAACTTGCTATATATATTTGTGTTTTGTCGTGACCTCAGGAGCGGTTAAACCAGTAACCAGAAACTTCTTATATGTTTGTTACATAATTAGTTTTATTAACTTTAATGATTATTAATAACTTCATTGAAGTTCCAATTATTTGCTTTATTAAAGTCTTTGTTTTTATTAAAGTCTTTGTTTACAAATTAAATCATAAAAATTGCTTTAAAAGATTACATTACGATAAAAAACAGACACGCAAAATTACATTTACATAAAAAATACATACTTTTTAAATAAAAAATAAGAATATACTAATAAAATCTATAATTTATAATAAACTTTTAAAATTTAGACAATTTAAAAAATATATATTATAAAACATTTATTTTTGTAAACAAATAATAATAGTTTAAAAAATTTACGGCTTTGCAGATGTGGCTCCAAGAATGAGCCATAGTATTGATAATATATTCTTAAAACAATTTATGTTAGAAATCTCAAAACTTAACAAATCGTGAATAATACAATTTCTAAAACATATCAACAGAATACTAAGGTTTGTAAATATTCTTTTTTATTCTTCCGCACAAGATGTTTTGAGAACATTCAAGTTTATTATGTTTTCATGTATGTCCATAAAACAAAAATTTTTTATTACGTTCATAAACTTAAATTTTCTCAAAACGACTAAAAAATCTGGCCAGTTTTTTGTAACTAAATATTATTTGAAATAAAGATATATTGTTAAATATTGCTGCATATTGTTAAACAAAGATATATTGTCAAATATTACTGCATCTTGTTAAATAAAGGTATATATAAAAATATATATTCATGCCACGCATAATTTGTGCATTACTTACTTCAATTTTAAATTAGTGGTATAAGTTGAAATTAAAAATGATTTATTTAAAAGCTACATCCAACATGTTTTTATTTTAAATTCTAGTTGAACTTTATCATATTATCCGCTTAATCATACCCAGGTTAAGTCAAACCATTTGCTAAATCTTATATTTTTTTATTTGAAGAAAAACTTTGCTTTTACTTTGAATTGCATAAAAGTTTATGAAATAAAATATCAAAACTTGAATGTTAAAAAATTAAATTTCTAGCGTTATATTTATAAATATCTAGGTTAATATTTATAAATCCTATTTAAATAAATATCTAG